CTCCCTGGGATGCAGTGTTTCCTTATCTTCTCTAGATGAAAAGATTGCTTGATAGTAGGGAGGACTCAGAAGGGAAGAGATATCATCAGTCATCTCATAAAGTGAGGAAGTTTCTCTTGAGTGCTCAGAGTGGAAAGGGGGGGTAAGATGAATAGGAGGACTTGGGTGGTGTTTCTTTGGTTCACAAATATTTCCTCTGTTTCCCTAAAGTTGGGCTATAATTTGGGACCAACAATCCTTCCTGGATAGGTTTCAAGGTTATTGGTTAGAAATCCAGGGTACAGAAGGTTCATCTACTTCTCTAGGGGTCCATGACGCTCCAGGGGGTGAGAAGCAGTCGCCTGCTGGTATTGTGGAATGCTGTGTTCACTATCTGATACCTGTAGCTGGTGCTTATATAGGTGTGTAACATCTGATCCCTACCTTAATGTATAGTTAACCCAATAAATGTTGCAGGGGTAAATTAATTGGATTTCTCATGTGATTTGTGCAAAGATCGTTGAAGAGTCTAGGGTTATCAACATTATCTCTGTAAGAGAAAGCAATCTAACGTATCAAGAGTCGTACTGCCAATATATGGGAATTGTATTCTAATACCCAAAGAAATACACTTTGAGTGAACCCAGATTCTCTTGATTTAGTGACTCCAGAGGGTTTTGGAAGTCATATACAATATTCCACGTATTCCACAAGCATCCTGGTAAGTTCTTCTGTAACTATATTACCAAGCTTAGTATTTTTTAAAAAGTATTTCTCTTTAAAAATTTTTATTTATTCATTTGGCTGTGGCAGGTCTTAGTCGCAGCATGCAGGATCTTGTTTAGTTGTGACATGTGAGAGCTAGTTCCCTGACAGGGATCGAAGCCAGGCCTCCTGCATTGAGAGCATGGAGTCTTAGCCACTGGACCACTGGACCACTTTAGGAAGTCCCCAAAAAATATTTCTAAAAGGGCCTCCTGGACTTCTAAAGTGTCCTTCTAAAAGGATCCCAGTCTTGTGTTTCCTCCTAGGAGGATTCCCTATCTCCCTACCACCTATTATACAGCTTGTGTGTCCAGGACTCCAAGGTCCCCTCTTACCTCCCTTATTCTCACCTATACATGGCTCAGTTCATTTCCGTTTTGATAGCCCTACTTCACTCTGCCCCAACTCTGAAACCTTCTAGGCCCGGTTGGAAGTCTCCATTCATCCATCATCTGCTGAAACATGAGTCTCCTCTTTGTGCAGCACCTCTTAAGATCCTTGCAGGGAGTGGCTGCTTTCTCTCCTACTTTTCTTCAGTTGTTGCTTCTAGATTGTTCTCCCTCCCTTTTCTCTAAAACAGTTCTGACTCTTGGAACATCAGACTGTCATATCACTCCTGCTTCTTTGTTGCAGTCATCTTATGAATGATGACTGCAAAGATTTCTACTCTTGCAGTACTGCGTCTAAAACCACCCCCATCATACTTCTAGTCCCATTATCCATGTAGACCTTCCTGGGTCCTGACCTCACAGTTTTTCGACTTCTCTGCTAGTGGTTTCATTCCATTACCAGTAACTAGGACCTGCCCACCATCTGTTTCAAGTATCTTTTTCTAAGCTAGTTGGCTGTTTAGTACCAAGATTCCAACAATCCCTTGCCTGAAGCTTCCCTCCGGGTTGCTCCCAGCAGATGACTTTGCTTCTTGTTTCCTGAGTGTATAGGAGCCACCAGCAGGGGCTTCCATCGTAGGTCTCCACCACCTCTACCCACTTTTGGTAACATCCGTGCCTTCCCACTGTTTTGACTGGGTTGGTGCCAGAGCCTGTTCCATGTCCACTGCCTTAGGACATTGTTCCTACATTTCCCTTATCTCTTGTATCATCATGTTTTCTATATATACTGGGTTATCCCCATCGATGTGCAAACATACTTTGAAAAAGGAAAAGAAAACCCTCTAGCTCCTGTATCATTCTCTGCTTTGTTACAGAAAGCAGAATTTCTCAAAGGTGGTCTCTTCTTGCTGTCTTCATTTCCCTTCCATTCTTCTGCTCAGCCATTCAGTCGTGTCTGTCTCTTTGTGAATGCATGGACTGTTGCCCACCAGGCTCCTCTGTCCATGGAATTTCCCAGGCAAGAATACTAGAGTGGGTTGCCATTTCCTCTTCCAGGGGATCTTCCCGACCCAGGGATTGAACTGACATCTCCTGGGTCACCTGCATTGGCAGGCAGATTCTTTACCACTGAGGCCCTGGGAAAGCCGTTGTTTCTTGAACCCACTCCAAAACCTACCTTGCTGCCAGATGTCTTCCACATTGCTAAATCCAGTGGTCAGTTCTGTTTTCTTCCTTGACTTTAGCAGCAGCGTCTCAAATTCTCAGGTGATGGGTCATTTCCTTCCTGAAATACGTTCACCTGGCTTTCAGGGCTCAACCCCTGCCCCTCTGGCCTGCATTTCAGGTCCCCTTTGCTGTTTCCTCCCCACTTTCCGTCTGCTCACGCTACCTTGACCTCATCCAGTCTTGAGGCTCTATAAATACCACAGGTATGCTGATCTCCCTTTATGTCTACAGTTTGGTGAGTTTTGAAAAAAATGTCCATATCCTTGTAACCACCACTACAGTAAAACTATAGAGAATTTTTTCCCTTCTCCAAAAAAGTTCCCCATGTCTCTTCACAGTTAATGCCCACCACAACCCTAAGACCTGAGCAGTCACATGTCTGTTTTGTGAATACACATTAGAATTGTCTTTTAGAGTTTTATAAAGATAGAATTGTACAATGTTCTATTCATATCCTACATTTTGTATCCAGATACTTTTGCTCAGCATGATTTGAAGGCTCCTCCACGTTGTACTGTGTGTCAGTACCTTACTTTGCGTTACATGGATGAGCCACAGGCAGTCATCCTGTTCACCTGTAGATGGATATTACCTTGAGCCCAGCTCTGGGCTAGTGTAAATACAGCTGCTATGGATGTTCTTTTTCAGTGCTTTTTGTGTGTGCAGGCTTTCATTTATCTTGGGTAAAAACCTAGCAGTGGAATAGCTGAGTTGTATAGTAAGTATATGTTTAACTTCTGAAGCTACTTCTATGGGCCTTTTCATCTGATGTCTTTATTCTGTTTTACATTCTGGGAAAATTGTCTCTTCTTTTTTTAAGATTTCATCTATATATTTAAAAATTTTCTCTTTTTAAGACTCCTATTATTAATACTTAGATGTTAGCATGTCTGTGTCTGTTGTCAGTATGTCTTACCTTTGCTTTCATGTTCTCTAATTCCTTTTTCTTTCTTTCCTCTGGACATTTCCTGTTTCCTATGCCAGTTTGCTAATTTGTTTCTCAGCTGTCTATTTGCTACTTATTTCCTCTAATGTATCTTCATGTCAACAACTGTTTTACATATCTAATATTTCCTCTTGGTTCTCTTTTATATGTTATTAGTTTCATTCTCTATTGCTAATGTCATGCCTTATCTCTCTAAATGTATGTGACTGCTTTAAAATTTTGGTCCATCTGTTCTAATATATGTGCCTCTGATAGAATCCGTAATCCAGTGTGCTGTTTTTCTTTTGGAAATAAGTTTGCTTAGAAAATTGCTTATTTCCTTGGCCCGTGAGCACATTTATTTCTCTTGTTTTCATTAGCTACTTGTTTTTATGCATACATGGGATGGGATCAGATCCTGGTCCCTATGAACCCCAGTGAGTTCAGGGTTGGGAGGATGGATCCTAGGATGGGGAGGTGAAGGCACCAGAAAGCTAGTCAGTGACTTCTTACCTCCCAAGGTAACTCTGAATCAGTGACTTCTCACCTCCCAAGGTAACTGAGTCAGTGACTCCTTACCTCCCAAGGTAACTGAGTCAGTGGCTTCTTACCTCCCAAGGTAACTGAATCAGTGACTTCTCACCTCCCAAGGTAACTGAGTCAGTAGCTTCTTACCTCCTAAGGTAACTCTGAATCAGTGACTTCTCACCTCCCAAGGTAACTGAGTCAGTGACTCCTTACCTCCCAAGGTAACTCTGAAGTGTGATCCACCAGCCCAGGGCTTTGTAGAGTCAGGGTGGAAAAACCTGTGCCTGGTGTCATGGAGTCTCTGCCTGTTTCTCAGCTACTCCCAAGCACAGGTTACTGCCCAGCCTTGACTCCACCCCTCAGCGACCTGGACCAGGGGCCGTTCATGGCCGTGTTGATGCTGGACCATCCAACCAGCACGCCTTCCTCACTTCCCGCTTCACCGCCCTCTCTTCAGTTGCTTCATTGCATGCGTCACTACTTGGCATCAGCTCGTACATTTTCTCCTTTCTTACTGTCCGCTCTGTCCCCCAATGCCACACACCAGGCTCTGTGTTCCATGGAGTGGGGACCTCATTGGTCCCGGTCTGCCATGTCTGTGGTGCCCAGCATGGCACTGTGGCTCCAGAAGTGCTTGGGACACCAGCAGGTTGTCGGTTGTGCTTCTCGACCTCCTCATCTGGATCTCCTGACTGCGGAGATGTGGGGGGACTTGAGGGGGTGCGGCACAGGGAGAAGGGCTCTGCAGTCTCAGCAGATGGTCATGAAGCCCTGTATGTGGGAGGACTGGTCAGAAGGCCATATGGTCAGAAGACTATATGATGGGGTCTGGGGGTGGATATCAAGGAGACAGTTACAGGAATTGGTCAGAATCAGCATTATCCTTTTAAATGTGTGGGAACTGAATGACACTTTGAAGACAATGGCCATTATCAAAATGTGTAATTTCTTAATTTGAAGAATAAGTGTTTAAATGCTAAAAAAAAAAAAAAGCAATTAACTCAGAAGCAACACGGCAGCCTTGTGGACAGAGGAGAGAAGGGCCCGGGAATGTGGGTAGTGCTGGGCGCTCCCAGCAACTCAGTCTTCAGTCAGGAGAGCCAGAGCTCACGACAGCCTCCCCTGCAGAAGCTCTTCTTTCTGCCTGGACAGTGCCCTCCGTTGTGACCTCACAAAGACGAAACCCCTCGGCAGGTGGAGAAAGTGTGGCGCTTACGGGCAGCACCCTTCTCAAGGTGGGTCCTCACGGTGGGAGGAACCGGTGAAGGGTCTGAAAAAGTACTTGTGCCCCAAAGAGGGAGTGTCCTGGTGAAGAAATGGGGGCCCTGATGAGGTTTTCCAGCCAGAAACCACTAAGTTCGGTCTTGTTCCCCAAACTTCTTATCCTGAAAGTTACTTGGGGGTATCTTAAAAATGCAGGCCCCTCCCCCTGGCCCCTGAAATGCATTTTCAGCCAGGGCTCTGGAGGTTCCTATCATCCTGGGAGCAGACGTCTAGTGGGACCTGACACGGTTTATACCCCACAAGGGAGGAAGCAGCTTGGCTTGAGGTCACTGTGGGTCCACTTTGGGCAGGACCCAAGCAAAGTGCTGGGGATTCGTAACTTGGCCCCATGCAGGGACTACAGCGTGGGGGAGGATGGTGGCCTAGGCTTCATGGGCCTAGGGGGGCCACCTGAAGGGCTGAAGGATACAGGTGGGGTGGAACCTGGAGATGCGGGGTGACGGTGTGGAGTTTTACCTCCACGCTCCTGGAAAACGCAATGAATTCTGTCCAACCTTTCGTGTTCCAGGAAGCCTGGACTAGGAGCCTGGTGTCCACAGACCCAGGGGGAAGGACGGGGCAAGGCAGCAGTGAGCACAGGGAGATGGATATTCCAGGTCAGCTCCAGAGACAGCAGTGTCCCCAGGGACCTCGACAGTCCTAAGTCCAGTCTAAACAGTGCCCACAGGCAGGCCAGTAGGAAGCTCCAAAGAGATGGGTTTGATCGGAGGCAGTTGTGAGACTGTGGGATTTGGAGAGCACGGGAGCTGCATCCTTATCAGGCTCGTCCCAGGGGCACAGCAGGATGGGGGAAGACAGGTTGGCTGTTGAAAGGACAAAGCAAGGCCCTCTTGATTGTCCAGGCGGGAGGAAGTCTTGTGGGGGGTGGGGCGGGCCCAGTCTTGTCACCCCCGACATTTAGGAGGGGCAGCTGCCCTCTGGGCTGCAGCACAAGTGGAGTTGGCTCCTGGTGCTCGGGGCTGTATAAGCATCAAGAGGTGTCCGGCCTGTTAACTACCACTGGTAGGAGGGATGAAAGCCTATTTTGTGTATCATGTGAACTACCGGCTGGGCAGAGGACAAATCCAGAAGACAGCCTTCTACACCATCTCATTGTTCAGTCCCCTTGCTACATGCTGAGATGATTCAATTAATCTCTCCCTTAAAGAAATTTTTGGAGACAGCCACTTGGGTCTAGGCTTCTGGATGGTACCCCAGAGGTTGGAGGTGTACCAAACTGCTTTTTTTCAAAGATTACACACTCACATTTTACATCCAGAACTAACTAACTCTCAGTGCCCACCCTGTTTTTGAGCTTTGTGTGGATTACATTATTGAGCCATCACTGTAACCCTGTGAAGTGGGTATTCTTTCCTCCTCCTATTTTACTGATGAGGAAACTGAAGCTCAGAGGGGTTAAGTAACTTGATGAAGCTCAAACATCCAGGAAGCCAGAGGTAAGCATTAGAATGGGCCTACAGAGCCCTGCTGTCTCCTCCGTCTGCTTCTTGTGAGGCGTCACATTGAATTATAATTGATTCCCTTCTGTCTCCTCAAGAGTCTGGGCACTGAGGCTCTTACTCACTCCCAGCACACCCTCTCATTCTGTTAGTCTCCCCGTTGGCTGACTTCGTTCCATCAAAGAATTCCATGTCCCGAGGTGAGCTGACCTCACACTGGTGGCTCCCAGTCGGAACTGAGACATTCTGTAGGGGGAAAAGCTACTTGGTTTCTCAGAAATCCAGGGCAGATGGTAGACACAGCTAAATACTTCCTTTCACCCACGCGGTAACAAACTAGCAGTTTTGGAATGATGGACAAAGTTCAACGTTCTTTTGCTGTTTTATTTTTGTTTTTAATGGAGTACCCACTTCATCTGTGTGTGCCTTATGCAGGTGAGTTAAAACCAGTAAGACAAACAACATGCTGAATGGGTTGCTTCAACCATTGCTTTCACTCTTTTCAGGGGAAGTAAACAGGGGTGATTACACCTCACTGCTGTAGGTTTTCTTTTCCAGATTATTTTCCCTTAGAAAGACAGCCAAATGTCACCAAACAACCCATACAGTTCGGTAAGCAATTTCACTTGGTCCATGGAGCTATCCCAAGACCCAAAGGTGAGTCGTTGTTACTACTCGGTCAGTGAAATGGGAACTGTACTCTGTGGTGGTCCTAGCTGCTATTCAATGTGTCTTTTCTTCTTTGTTAGTAGCGTGATCCATAAAATAATAAGATTAGATAGACGTTGCTTGGAAACTAGATCCTGTGTTCTCTCTGTGTGAGCTGGCTGATGGCAGGGCTGTCACTGCCTCCCGGCACCACCTCTCTGGGCTGATGACAGCACCGCGCCCTTCAACTCCGCGCCAAGTTTCTCTAGGTCCTCTGCTTGGGAGGAGGGTTCCCAGCTTGCGTGACTGCAGAAGCAGACCACACCCATATGCACTGTGTTGCTAACTGTCCATGTTCATCAGAGGAAACACTGGCTGCGAGCAGAGCACCACTCTTCTGCAGACTAAGCCCCATGCATCTGCTCGGCACTGGAGTAAACTTGCTGAGAAATTTACCATCTCAGCAATTAATATTAGGAAATTACGTGTCATGCCCTGTCGTCTAATACCAAGTTATATTGTAATTTTCCTAAATGTATCCTAAACCTCTCTCTTCTCTCTGATCACCCTCAATGGCCATCTAGCTCCGAGTACCACGCCCATGCAGCCCCCAGCGAGCACTGGTAAGTCGGGATCTGGGAGTGCATGTGGGATCCATGAATATCTGCAAAGCTCTTGTGTCGTATGGCTCCTCCAGGAGGGCATCCCGTGATGCTCATAACTAACCTGTACAGCTCCCCCTACTCAGTGCAAATTAGAAAAAGGCACGCCTTGCCCACCATGGCTGGGTTAGTAGCCATGCTGCTAGGGACAGATTAGAAAATAGCACAGATGTCAAAGTGTCAGGAAATATAGAAAAAAAAATCATGGTTAATACATCTGTCCATCCCAAAGACATTCTTAAAGCTTAGCTATGGGCTTCCCAGGTGGCTCAGTGTAAAGAACCTGTAAGCGATGCACGTTTGATCCCTGGGCTGGGGAGATCCTCTGAGGGCATGGCAACCCACTCCAGTATTCTTGGCTAGAGAATCCCATGGACAGAGGAGCCTGGCTGGCTGCAGTCCATGGGGTCACAAAGAGTTGGACACGACTGAGTGACTGAGCACACACACACAAAGCTCAGCTGTAGTATTTCATTTCCCCATTCACTTCACCACCACCAAAGTCCAGAAAAGGAAGCTGGGTCAAGTGTTGGAAGGCCCACATTCTAGTCTATCTTGACACTAACTATCAACACTAACCTCTTGTGAGGTGGCCCTAGAGGTTCGCTGAGTCCTGTGCCATCCCTGAGCTTTTAGTCCCAAGTGTAATTTATGATACAGAGATAGAAGACAAAATTGTTTGTCTAGTTGGATCACTGGAAGACTCCAATTTGCTCTTGTAACTCAGCTTTCGGTTACATGGAAAGGTGCCTACCTCATAAAAAGGAAAATACACCTTGAAAATACATTCTAATTCCAGTTTTGAGCTATGTTGAAAGTGGGCAAAATATCTCAAACTGTACCGGCAAAGGAGTAGGGAAAGTTAATCTCCTGTCTTGTGTGTAAGCCAGGAACAAGTGCAGTTTCTTCAGAGGGCAATTTGGGAGTTCTTATAAGAAGAATGCATTCACTTTTTGACCCAGTTTTTAAATACACCCAGGATTTGTTTTAATCAGGTATGATAAGACCCACAGACTCAGAAATGATCATTGTGAAGGAGGAAGGTTATACACACAGAATCCTAGAAACAGCAGGCAGGGCACACCATGCCAAGCCATGTGGGGAAGGACCAGCCTTGTCAGGAGGCAGGGGGTAGAAAGAGGGGAGCATGACCCAGAGCTTCTGTTGACTGTCTGAGGAAAGGAATGGGTGAGGCAGGGTAGGTATATGGAGTAAGCTTAGTGTTACATTTGTTGTTATTGTTGCCGTTCAGTTGCTAAGTCGTGTCTGACTCTCTGTGATTCCATGGACTGCAGCACACCAGGCTTCCCTGTCCTTCACTATCTCCCAGAGTTCGCTCAAACTCATGTCCATTGAGTCAGTGATGCCATCCAGTCATCTCATACTCTGTCACCCCCTTCTCCTCCTGCCTTCAATCTTTCCTAGCATCAGGGTCTTCTCCAGTGAGTCAGCTCTTTCCATCAGGTGACCAGAGTATTGGAACTTCAGCTTCAGCATCAGTCCTTCCAATGAATATTCAGGGTTGATTTCCTTTAGGATTGACTAGTGTTGCATAGTTTGAATAATTTTGGTGGGCTCTGGGGTACAGGAGTGGCTATAAAAAAGTAGTCAGTGTACCCAGCCATTCTGTTTCTAGGAAATTTTATTTAAAGTATGCTGGTCTATTTTCCTAGTCCAGTTATCCTTCCCCTTTGCTTGGTGACTTTCTCCTCTGTTTTTCTCATTCACAAACACCCCTACCATATCTACCCCAGCCTTGATCTTACAGAATGACCTTGTTCCCACCATCACTGACAAAACACAAGCACTTGAGCGAGCATCTGCATCTCCCTAACTAGCAGTTGAATAACACTTTCTCATCTTTCCTCCCGGCCAGGTCAAGGCTGACCCTTCACCTTTGCACCAACTTCCATCCCCTTGGGACACTGGTTGATTCTTTCTCCCTTTCCAGTAGCATCACAATTTAAAGTGTTGTTCCTGTGCTCATGAGATCATGATGTCAATTTTTCTGTATTAAAAAGCAAAACCTGTCTCCCGATCCCTCAGCCCCTTCTGGGAGATGCCTTCATTTCTCTTCCTGCCATGACAGCAAAATTCTTCAGAAGATTTTCAAAACTTTTCCTCTCTGTAATCCCTTTCCTTCTATTCTCTCATGAACTTCTGTCAGTCATGCACATGGGTAATATCACTTTTGACTAGGTCTCCAATGACCTTCCCATTGCCAAGTCCAATAACCAGTTTTCAGTAGTCACGGCCTTAGAAACCATCTTTAACCCTTATCCTCCACATCAGTATTTCATTATGAAAACCTAAAAATGTACAGGAAAATCGAGAGAATCATTAAATGAACATCTGCATATTCATTGGAAGGACTGATGTTGAAGCTGAAACTCCAATACTTTGGCCACTTGATGTGAAGAACTGACTCATTTAAAAAGACCCTGATGCTGGGAAAGATTGAGGGCAGGAGGAGAAGGGGACGACAGAGGATGAGATGGTTGGATGGCATCACCGACTCAATGGGCATGAGTTTGAGTAAGCTCCGGGAGTTGGTGATGGACAGGGAATCCTGGCGTGCTGCGGTCCATGGGCTTGCAAAGAGTCGGACATGACTGAGCATGTGAACTGAACTGAACTGAAAGCTTAAGCATTTAATCTTTGAGCATTTTCATAGTCCAGGTTCTTTTCTTCATGTCAAGCTGACTTCACATTGAGGTGCCAGTCTCAAAGAGTTTCTCAGCTCAGTTGTTGAGCCAGAGAAGGGAAAGAAAGTGAGGGAGCGCTCCGTGTGAGACAAGGAGGAGGCACCTCAGTTTGTCAGATTTTACAAATGGTTGAGTAATGTACTTAGTCAATTGTGCATTTGTTCAGTTTGTACCTATAGTAGCTCTGTTTGTTTATTTTCATTTCAGATGATGAGAAGAGTGAGCCTGCAAGGACCACCCTTGGTTTTATAGGATATTCAGTGGGCCTAAACACCAACCCCTGGAATGCAGGTTTGTGGGATTAGATCTCAAATTGCCCTGTAATATCATGTTTTATTTAAAAAGAGCACTGTATAACCTAAGACCATCAGGCAACACTTGAGTTGTAAAACTAAGGCCACTCTCCTTTCAGCTATATCAGTGGCAGTTTATGCCATACATCAGGGACCATAAGAGACTGGCTTTGGCCAAAGACAGGAGACAGATGAAAAAAGGAGTCAGGGTTTAGGTGGGAATTCAAATTATACTTGCTCACACAGGCTGTGCAATCCAGCTTGCATGGTTTTCTTGTAAATTAAGAATTTTATTTGTAATGTTATTTCTGATTTTCTCTCCCATTCCCCTAAAACAGTATGATTAACAAATATATTAACTGATACATGTGTGTGTGCTAAGTCACTTCAGTCGTGTCTAATTCTGTGTGACCCTGTGTACTGTAGCCTTCCAGGCTTCTCTGTCCATGAGATTCTCCAGGCAACAATATTGGAGTGGGTTGTCATGCCCTTCTCCAGGGTATCTTCCCGATCCAAGGATTGAACCCAAATTTCTTTATGTCTCCTACATTACCAGGTGAGTGCTTTACCACTAGCACCACCTACGAAAGTCTCTCAGTCGTGTCTGACTCTTTGCAACCCATGGACTATGCAGTTCATGGAATTCTCCAGGCCAGAATACTGGAGTGGGTAGCCTTTCCCTTCTCCAGGGGATCTTCCCAACCCAGGAATTGAACCAGGGTCTCCTGTATTGCAGGTGGATTTTTTACCACCTGAGCTATCAGGGAAGCCCTAATAACTGATAGTCACAGCTAAAATGAGATTTTATGAAAATTTCTTTTCCTTCTATTTTTAGCATGGATTCCTCATAGACCTGCTCTTGTTAAAGTAATTACAATTGCATGTATAGCCCTCACTATTGCCCTGATATTTGGGACCATTATTTCCTACGTGATATAGTAAGTCTATGCTAAATAATCTTTACTGTCCTTTAGTAAGACATAAAGTAACTAGATTATTTCATGGTAGTAATGTTAATAATGGTGATGATGTTGGTAATTCTTATAATCACTGAATAATTACAGTCATTATAAATTTTCAGTGTTTTTCAGAATATGGCCTATATTCATGGTGGATCATAACATAAATGAAAAATATAAAAAGAAACATGGCAAAAAATTAAAAAAAAATAAAAAGTATGAATAAATTAAAAAGAAATAGGACAGAATAAATACAATTTAGTAGAATAGAAATGCTGTTTTTCAACTTTTCAGACTTAGACTGTGAAGTAAAAGTTATCTCTTACTGTGGCTCATGATCAAAAATGTTCTGAGATGCTGGCATCCTCTCACAATGTGATTTTCTAGAGTGAAAGTGATGCTTTGGAAAGAAATCTTAATAGTGCAAAGCAGAAAAGTAACCACTGTCTCTTTCACTAGAAACTTATCATTGTGGTTGGGGTGATAGTAGCATTAGGGAAGACACTTCATCTTGTTCACACAAATAAAGCTTGTGGCGAAGCTCAGTTTATGTGATCATTTTGAAATTAGTATCAGACAAAAGCGAGCCACACTGTCACATCATGTGACTGTGATCAGGAGCAGCACGTTGATTCCTATTCTCGGATTTACTTCAGGATTCCATTATATCCCATCAGAAACATCTTGGGGAAGAACTAAATTCTTTGTTATGATTAAGTGTGCACATGGGAAATACATTGCCATCTATGGAATATCTTTTAAGGTAACCATTTTAGGACTAGCTTGAAGTATATCAAATGAAGGTAAAATTAAAGGTGAAATTGAAGAGACTTTGCTAATAAGTGAGTGTCACCAGCATGTTTGGTTCTGGATTTTCTAATCTGATGATCTCCTTTGACTCAATTTATGGAACTTCAATTTCAGTTTATTTCATTAGTATGAACAGAGATGTTAACAGATATGAAGATTCCTAAAATAACTCACTAAAACATTTCATCCTGAACTCTTAGTGAGCAATGTTAAGTTACTGAGCTAATGTCAACATTTATAGCTTTTAAGTTTGTGTTACCCATAGTGACATTTTAAAACCTGAGGCAAAAGGAAAAATATGTGCCCCAGAGCATGTTTTTATGTAATTTTTAGCCATTAATTTTTTCCAGAAGTAAATTTTGGATATATATCAATGAGAGACTTCCCTGGTGGTCCAGGGGTTAAGACTTTGTACTCCCAATGCAGGGGACCCGAGTTCGATCCCTAGTCAGGGAACTAGATCCCACAAGCCACAACTAAGAGTTCACATGCCACATCTAAACATCCTACATGCCACAACGAAGATCCAGTGCAGCCAAATAAAATAAATAAATAAATATAAAAAATGAAAATATATTCAATTCAGTTCAGTCGCTCAGTTGTGTCCGACTCTTTGCGACCCCATGAACCACAGCACGCCAGGCCTCCCTGTCCATCACCAACTCCCAGAGTCCACCCAAACCCATGTCCATCAAGTCAGTGATGCCATCCAACCATCTCATCCTCTATCGTCTCCTTCTCCTCCTGCCCTGAATCTTTCCCAGCATCAGTCTTTTCCAATGAGTCAGCTCTTCACATCAGGTGGCCAAAGTATTGGAGTTTAAGCTTCAGCATCAGTCCTTCCAATGAACACCCAGGACTGATCTCCTTTAGGATGGACTGGTTGGATCCCCTTGCAGTCCAAGGGACTTTCAAGAGTCTTCTCCAACACCACAGTTCAAAAGCATCAATTCTTCGGCACTTAGCTTTCTTTATAGTCCAACTCTCACATCCATATATTGGGAAAACCATAGCCTTGACTAGAGGGACCTTTGTTGGCAAAGTAATGTCTCTGCTTTTTAATATGCTGTCTAGGTTGGTCATAACTTTCCTTCCAAGGAGTAAGCATCTTTTAATTTCATGGCTGCAATCACCATCTGCAGTTATTTTGGAGCCCAGAAAAATAAAGTCAGCCACTGTTTCCACTGTTTCCCCATCTATTTGCCGTGAAGTGACGGGACCGGATGCCATGATCTTAGTTTTCTGAATGTTGAGCTTTAAGCCAACTTTTTCACTCCTCTTTCACTTTCATCAAGAGGCTTTTTAGTTCCTCTTCACTTTCTGCCATAAGGGTGGTGTAAATCTGCATATCTGAGGTTATTGATATTTCTCCCGGCAATCTTGATTCCAGCTTGTGCTTCCTCCAGCCCAGCGTTTCTCATGATGTACTCTGCATATAAGTTAAATAAGCAGAGTGACAACATACAGCCTTGACTTACTCCTTTTCCTATTTGGAACCAGTCTGTTGTTCCATGTCCAGTTCTAACTGTTGCTTCCTGACCTGCATATAGGTTTCTCAAGAGGCAGGTCAGGTGGTCTGGTAGTTTCAGAATTTTCCACAGTTTATTGTGATCCACACAGTCATATTAGTGAGTTTTATTTCATTTAAACCAGGAAAGTAAAAGTATAATAAATTTTGTTTCTGATATAAAGTATTTAAACTTAAGATAATGCCGTGAGTTTTGATATAGAACTTTTCAATTTTTAAAATATATTCTCAACTACTTTAATGTTTTAGAAAAGAAGAACCATAAAATAATACATAAAAGCGTGTATATAGAGACTCAGTATTTTCCCTTTTGACTCAGGCTGTCATGCAGTTCATCACAGTGCTGATGGATCCTGCTTTTTAAATTTTGATATTTGGTTTATTTTGTATTTTTCCAGTTTTTTTTCCTTTCTTTACCCACACTGCATTGCTTGTGGGATCTTAGTTCCCCAACCAGGGATTTAACCTGGGCCCTTGGTGGTGGAAATACCGAGTCCCAATCACTGGACGGCCAGGGAATTCACTCATTTCAGTTTTTAAAAATATTTATCATCATTACTGAGTTTTTTGGCACCCCCTTAAATTTTGCACATGAAGTGAGTACCTCATTCTCCTCACCCAAATCCTGTTCCTGCCCCAGTTTTCTGATTGTCTGCAGCAGTTTTTACAGTCAAATCAGTTCTTCTGCTGCACAGCATGATTCTGGAATGTTACCCCTACACCCCTTCCTCCATCTCAGCTCCTTAGAACACAATTAAGCTAACCCTAAAATGATTTATTATTACATGTAGTGTTAGTTGCTCAGTTGTGTCCAACTTTGCAACCCCATGGACTGTAGCCTGCAGGGCTCCTCTGTCCATGGAATTCTCCAGGCAAGAATACTGGAGTGTGTTAGGGTTAGGGTTAGGTAAGACTCCCTTCTCTAGGGGATCTTCCTGACCCATGGATCTAACCCAGGTCTCCTACATTACAGGCAGATTCTTTGCCATCTGAGCCACCCGGGAAGCCCATTATTACATGAGTCAAACATAATTAAGAAGGTACCTATGTTAGAAAAAATTAAACACTGTATTATCCATTTCCACTTCACACAGAAATATCTGGTCAATGAGCCACTTCCAAGTTTGGATCTAGGTGAGGTGAACAAGGTACTCACTTCAGGTGCAAAATTTAAGGCAGTGCCAAAAACTTGGTAGTCAAGATAAATAATAATACAGTATTTTTTTAATCTAAATTAATGCATTCACAGCCCCATGATGAACATTTTAAATACAGGATCAGTAACAGTGCCAGGCCAAAAAATATTGGAGACTGAGCAAAAGGAAAAACCAACAGTACCTACGCTATCTTTATATAAAATGTTGACATTTTGTTCAAAGTCTATTTCTGCCTCCCTCTCCATGTACTAGTACCACCAGATACTAGTGACTGCTTTTTAGTCAGAAAATCACAGGACTAAGGATTAAGACTTGATGATTTAGTGTGAAAATTATGCTTTCGAATTTCTCTGTTTGGGGAATTCTTTTGGTGGTCCAGTGGTTAAGACTCTGTGCGCCATTGCACAGGGCAGAGTTTGATCCCTGGTCAGGAACTAAGATTCTGCAAGCCATAGGGCACAGCCTTCCCCTGAAATTATGCACTTTGTTCTTCAGTCGACTGGTAGAGGCTGAGGAAAAACAACAGCTTGCATCACTTTATAAAAATATCAAGATCCCATCGTTAGGAGATGAAGAGGAATTCTTTGAGGATGAGAGCCAGGACGAGTCCACATACCTGCTTCCAGAGAATGAGAAGGAACTGGAAAATTTCATTCATTCAGGTAAGTGGTCAACCAGTTTATCTTGTCAGATCCAAAATTGCAGGAAAGCTGAGCTGACAATGATGGTTTGATTTTCTCAAAAGCAAAGCTAAGTGGGAGGTAAGAAAGATGAACATTTCTAGCCACACCTGCGAGAGTAAACCATCCTCAATTGCACAGAGGGGCAAACAGCTGTGTGGTTGCTTGGTTCCTTTTGCAAGGCAATTCCAAGGATTGAAAAGAGAGTTCAGGAGACAAAACCTTTCCTGGACTAAACATTTCCCTTACGCATACTTATTAATGTTGTGTTATTCTCGAGTTTTGAATGACAGGCAGATGCCTTCCTACACTGTCTGCCTCAGCCTGATGTGGAAATGGGATCCAAGCCCACAAAACAGGTTACTATCCCCGGGTCAGAGACCCCTGCTGATAGTCGCCCACCACCCCTGCCAATTCTTGTGAGGAGATAACAACATATATGCTCGTGTGGGGGGCATGCTAAGTTGCTTAAGTTTTAAAAACAAGTATAGTTGATTTACAATATTATACATTTTTAAAACTGGGAATTTACAAAGCTTGGGTACAGAAAGTGGGGAAATAATTTCAAAGCGCAATTTTCCTTACCAGGCAAATAGCATTCAGTATAGCCTGAAAATTCCGTTGTTCCTTCCTTTATTTCTCCATATCTTTCCTCACTTCTTTTGTCTCCATTTATAATTCCTCAATTATTAGTATCTCAGCAACATGATGTCTACATTTTAGTTATTAGATCGAAAAGAAGAAAACATTTTGAAAAGAAGAGATTGAATGCAGCACAAAACTTAGCAAAGGAAGTGAAAGTAAAGGATCCTGTGCACACTGCCGAAGTGGGGAGTCTGTGAAAGCAAATAACCGAGACGCAGGACGCGCTGGCCAGTGCGCAGGAACAACTGCGGGGGGACTTATGGCTGAGAACGTGGGCCTGACTTTCTTCTGGAGAACCTTGTACAGGAGCACCCTGAATGATGCTAGCACAACTAGACGTGAAAGCAAAAAATAAGTTCACACGATGTGGCAGTTCTTGCTTCCTAGCTCTCATAGTTTTATGAATAAATATAACTTAATTGGAAGAGAAATCTGACTTTGTAAGTGTGAAAGAGAAATTGTCAGGATTTTCTTTTCTCATCCCTAACCAGTAATTTCTTTGGGCAAGTCTCCCAGACCATGCCAGGGAACCACTTTCATAAAATAAAGCTTCCCCAGTGACATTATCTGTCGGTTCAGTAGCTTGCTTCCATTTTACTACGAGGAGAGTGAGAATGTCAAAATGAATATGACACTAGATTAAGATACACTAACCTTTGTTTTTAAGGATCTGGGACCTGGTGAGGGAAATAAACCTGCAGGCAAAGAGCTGATAACATTGCCAGATGTATTGTAAGCTAGGAGTCACTGAGAGCTGTGGGAAACATGAAAAGAGGCAAGATTTAATCTGAACAGGGCTGTTGATCTGAAAAACAGTCTGATGGTTCCTCCAGAAGTTAAATATAGAGTCACTCCATGACCCAGCAACTCCTAGGTATATATCTGAAAGAACTGAAAATATATGTAGCTGCACACAAGAGAAAGCTGTACACAAACATTCATAGCAGCATTATTCATAAGAGCAAAAAGGTAGAAACACCACTTCTGTCCATCAACTGATAAACAGGTGAACAAACTGTGGTCTCCCTGTACAGTGGGATGTTGTTAAGCCGGACAAAAGGAGTACCCACACATGCTCCAACACAGGTGATCCTTGAAAACATTATGCATAAGTAAAAGAGATTAGACACAAAAGGCCACACATCATATGATCCTGTTTATATGAAATACCCAGACTAGGCAAATCCATAGAGGGTGAAAGTAGATAAGTGGTTTTAGGTGCTGGGGTGGGGAGAAAATGGAAAAATGGTTTGTGGGTATGAGTATTCTTTTGAGGGCAATGAAAATTTTTACCAAAAAAATTTAGTGTAACTGGACAAGGCTGGCACCAAACCCAAGTTCAACTGCTCACTGCTGCAAAGGCCAATACTCAAGACACAAGTGTTATATTTGATTTACAATATTATACTAATTTCTACTGTACAGCAAAGTGACTCAGATATATGGATTTAAGTTGGGCCACTGAAATGAAAGCACTGAGTCCTAAACACTGGACCACCAGGGAAATCCCTGGACTACTTTTTATCAGGTATCAAGGATATGAGAAGAGCATAAATCGTCTCAGGCAGACATGTCTTAGCAAAAACCAGGGTGGCAGGCAGAATTCTGGGATGGCCCCTGAAAATCCTGCTCCCTGGTGTACACAGCTGTGTGTACACACCTGCCATTGAGTGTGGGTCTTCGAATATGACAGATGTCAGTCTTGTGATTAGGCAAAGGTGATGGGATTGTCACTCTTAATTGTTACATTAAACCATCTCTCCCAAGTCTTTATGGACTTTACTATTTAGCCCACCACTCCTCTGTTTATGGAATTCTCCAGGCTGGAGTGGGTGGCCATTTCTTTCTCCAGGGGATCTTCCCTGGAGATCTTTCCTGATCCAGGGATTGAACCGCATCTCTTACGTCTCCTGCACTGGCAGGCAGGTTCTTTACCACTAGGGCTATCTGGGAAGCCACAACCTATGCAGGGAAAGACTTTTGCTAATCAACCCTTTCTCAGATTTTTTCTGGACATGCATCTTCCCTGTTGTGTAGGTAAATATTTTCCCCCAATTCTGCCATAAACAGGATGCTGCATTAAATGTCTTAATTTCCCTAAAGTCTCACTCCCCCACACCTGATTTTTCTCAGGGCATTAAACATTCTATTGAATTCCTCTGCCCTAGTCTTTTTATCCCCAGACATGGCAGGACTGCCATCTCCCTGCCGCTCTCCCAAGCTTTGGAGTCTACCAGGGGGCTTACTGGCCTCCATCCTGACTTTCAGACTATCGCCACCGTTGTCAGCGGCACTGAGGTAAGTGATGCAGAAACCAGACTGTTGGTCAGCCTTCGGACAAACCAGAATATTGCAGTTAAGTGCCTTGCTTTTCCTTCCTTTCCCGAAGTAGAATTGAGAATAGGCAGCTTCCACCTCACCCTGCTGTGCTTGGGAGGAGGGCATGGAGCCGTTGAAAATGCCCTCAAATTTATCTTTTTTTCCATTAGATTTTTGGACTCATGGCATATGGCATCTTAGTTCCCTTACAGAGATCAAACCTGTGTCCCCTGCACTGGAAGCGCAAAGTCTTAGCACTGGACTTCTGGGACATTCCCCAAATTTATCATTTTGATTTGTGGAATTTTTTTGGTTAGGGTGCTTGCTTAGTTTCTGCAGATCCTTCACTGATTTTTACAGTATTTGAAAAACTATTTTGACCAGCATGATGTTGTTTATCTAGAGTTTTTAGGGGGAACAAGGACCTATAATTTCCTACTCTGCCATTTACTGATGTCCCTCTGATTCAAGTTTGACTTTTTTTTTTAGAACTCTTTTCCTTTTTAATATTTAGTTTTATTTATTTATTTTGCTGCTCTAGGTCTTAGTTGCAGCATGTGGGATCTTCGATCTTTGTTGTGGCATGCAGACCATATTTAAATGTTTACATTTCTCACTGCTATCTGGTGCCACTCTACCCATAAATCCAGGATCAAAGTATACACATGCCTTTAAATGTTCTTCGTAATCTGTCCTGTTAAATTTTTTAATAATATAGGCCTTTTATTTTTATTTTTTTATTATTTTTTTTCCATTTATTTTTATTAGTTGGAGGCTAATTACTTGACATCATTGCAGTGGTTTTTGTCATACATTGAAATGAATTAGCCATGGATTTACATGTATTCCCCATCCCGGTCCCCCCTCCCACCTCCCTCTCCACCCGATCCCTCTGGGTCTTCCCAGTGCACCAGGCCCGAGCACTTGTCNCGTGGGTTCTAGGTGTGTGGGCTTCTCCTTGCCGTGGCCTCTTGTGGAGCGTGGGTTCTAGGTGTGTGGGCTTCTCCTTGCCGTGGCCTCTTGTGGAGCGTGGGTTCTAGGTGTGTGGGCTTCTCCTTGCTGTGGCCTCTTGTGGAGCATGGGCTCTAGGTGTGTGGGCTTCTCCTTGCCGTGGCCTCTTGTGGAGCATGGGCTCTAGGTGTGTGGGCTTCTCAGTAGTGGTGGCACAGAGGCCCAGGTGCTTCTCAGCAAGTGAAATCTTCCCTGAACAGGTATCAAACTTGTGTTCCCTGCATTGGCAAGTGAATCCTTAACTACTGTACCACCAGGGAAGTCCTGTTCTGTTAATGTTTGTGACTTAAATTTTGTGTCTCTATACCGATGTCACAGTGTTTGTTTTTGTTGACTTAAAAAAAATGCACAACGTGAAAGTGGTGCATCAAGTTTTATTTGGGGCAAAATGAGGACTATAACCTGGGATACAGCATTTCAGATAGTGCTAAGAAACTGCTCCAAAGAGGCAGAGGAAAAGGTCAGTATATATGTAATTTTGGTGAAGGGGGAGTACATGCCATCAAGCACATTTTTTGCAAAAGGTTTCTGCTAGTCTCATCAAGGTTAGCACTAGTCACAAGGAGCAGTCATCACAGTGAAGGGTTTTAGTGCTTTTCTAGATATGAGGAGATACAAGAATGGGGTTCATAAAATTGGCTCCTGAAAACATCTATCTGAATACCTATTCTGCTAATTTTCCCCGAGCAGAGTGCCTCATTTCTGCTCTGCACCTTGAACTCCTTTCGGGGAGATGTTGAAAGTCAGCAGCTGCAGAGCACATGAGTTAATCCTCATAGAGGTAGATAAGTAAGCAAGTAAGTAGTTGCTCAGTCGTGTCTGACTCTCTGCAACCCCATGGACTGTAGCCTACCAGGCTCCTCTGTCCATGGGGTTTTTCAGGTAAGAGTACTGGAGTGGGTTGCCCTTTCTTTCTCCAGGGGATCTTCCCGACCCAGGGATCGAACCCGGGTCTCCAGCATTGCAGACGATGCTCTACCATCTGAGCCACCAACTGCCAATTTGTAATTGGCACTTTTTACTCTAGATTTATGTCTCAATTTCTTTCAGAGCAATTACTCTAAATTTACATAAATTACTTTTTTCAATTTATGATCATTGTCATACAGTTGTTAAAGATAATTTCTTGAATTTCAAAAGATGGTTGAATTTTTATAATTTTGACGCTTGAATTGCACATGATATTTATGAGTTTTCTCTACTAGTAGACACACCTTTTGTGATTCTGTGGAGGACAGGTGCATTATATCTGTAGCTTCTGTGAGAATCTGAATCTGTTTAGCCTCTGAGGGCATGCTGAACTTCCTGGAGTCCAAACTAATAAATAGGTCGCCAAACACCTTAGAGTTTTCAGTTGCAGACAGGACACTCCAGTAACCTGAGTACAGCCTCTTTAAGAAGAGCGAAGTCCTGCCTCTGCCTGGAGACCCAGAGGCACCATTTCCCATAGGAGCTTTGCCTCCTTTACTGCAGCATGGTTCAGTTCAGTTCAGTCACTCAGTTGTGTCTCACCCTTTGTGACCCCATGAACTACAGCATGCCAGGCCTCCCTGTCCTTCACCAGCTCCTGGAGTTTACTCAAACTCATGTTCATTGAGTCGGTGATGTCATCCAACCATCTCATCCTCTGTCATCCCCTTCTCCTGCCTTCAATCTTTCCCAGCATCAGAGTCTTTTCAAATGAGTCAGTACTTCGAATCAGGTGGCCAAAGTATTGGAGTTTCAGCTTCAACATCAGTCCTTCCAATGAACACCCAGGCCTGATCTCCTTTAGGATGAATTGGTTGGTTCTCCTTGCAGTCCAAGGGACTCTCAAGAGTCTTCTCCAACACCACAGTTCAAAAGCATCAATTCTTCAGCGCTCCGTTTTCTTTATGGTCCAACTCTCACATCCATACATGACTACTGGAAAAACCATAGCCTTGACTAGACGGACCTTTGTTGGCAAAGTAATGTCTCTACTTTTAAATATGCTGCCTAGGTTGGTCATAACTTTCCTTCCAACGAGCAAGCGTTTTAGGACCAATTCACAGGGGCAGGACTTTTGGTTTCCCTCTAGTGGCTGAGGTTATAACTGCCTTAGGCCTGTTTGGGCACCGGTGCCTAAGGCTTTGGACAGATGTGAGGGACCCAGAAGGTCTGTGAAGAGGCGTTGTCCCCACTGCACAGAGGCGGGTCTGAGGCTCTGACGTGGTCCAGGGTCCCCCTCGCCAGGCCCAGGATGGGGATTGCTGCA